TTTGACCGATAATTTTTTTTTTTTTTTTTAAAAAAAAAAAAAACTTACTTTATAATTATTACAACCAAGTACAACACCGACTATATTTTTGCCAATATCATGAACATCTCCTTTCACTGTAGCTAAAACTACAACACCGGCATGTTGTGGACCAACATCCACTCCATCTTCTCCATTTGCTGCAAATTGAGCTTGACGTTCGGCTTCCATAAATGGAATTAAATGTGCAACGGCTTTTTTCATAACACTTGACAAAGATAAACCGAAAATATTAAAACTCAAATAAACAATGAATATTTTTCACGCTTAAATAAAAATGATTACCGTGCAGACTTAATCACTTGAGGCAAAAACATTTTTCCTACGTATAACAAAGGTTAAGTTATTGCTAATGCGTAAAATAGTTCAACTATCGTATTACACGAGAATTAACGAACCTGCACCAAATAAATCCCCGACAGTACTCATACCAGCCATCAATGGTCCTTCAATAACTTCCAATGGCCTTGGTAACTAAAATTTAGATTAAAGATCAATAATACTTGCTAAAAAAAAAAAAAGTAAGTAGTTTGTTTATTAAACCAACCAGTTGTCTTGCTTCCTCAGTATCCTCAATTATATATTTTACGATACCTTTAACCAAAGCATAACTAATTCTCGATTGTACATCACTTTTCCTCCATTCTTCTTCAGTATCATCTTTTTTAGAACCTTTTCCAAATTTTTGTGCATATGCTAAAATCTTTTCAGTAACATCAGGATCTCGATTCCATATAGCATCTTCACATAATTGTAATAAGTCTTTTGAGATATCATCATAAATTGTTAAGAATCCAGCATTTACGATTCCCATATCAAGACCTGAATGATTGAAAAAAAAAAAATGAAGCAATTGGAAATTTGAGTTAAAAAATAATACATGGTTAGTATTAACTTACCAGCTTTAATTGCATGGTATAAAAACACGCTATGCATTGCTTCTCTAATTTTATCCATTCCACGGAAGGAAAATGATAAGTTCGAAATACCACCACTGACCTAAAAACATGATAGTTATGTATATATATGTATATATAAAAGAAATTTATACCTAA